CGGTGGGGCATCGGTGCCGGCGTGACGCAGGCGGCCAGCAGCACCTCTGTCAGGGTCTCGTTCATGTCCTTCCTGCTGCGGCTCATGTAGAGGGCCTCCAGCTGACCGCCGATGGACGACATGTTGGGCTCGCTCAGCCTGGATAAAGAAAAATTACAAAGTACTGTCGGGGTTTTGGTATGAACTTGCAGATTCGCGCCATTTGCGGCAAGGCGCAGTCCCTATCCCCTGCGAATAGTAGGAGTTCACTGCACTACATAGATAGGCGACGCAACATTTTCAGTTCTCTTCGTTAGGCATTGCCAAAGACTGGCGATATTCACCCACAGTGGAGTGAAATTGAAGGAATAGCCCAGAAGTGCAGATATTCCTGACTTCAGCCCTCGAGTCGCACGAGTAAATAATCAGTTGTTACCTGTTGACGAGGCCCTTCACATTCTTCTTCAGTTTCTCCAACTCAGCTTTGCGTTGTTCGCCACCAGCATCGCGCATGTGAGGAGGCACATACTTGCCCGCCGCCTAAAGAACAGAAATTTAGCATTTAAAATGAGCCTTCAATACATGACATGGATGAGTTGTGATGTGATGAGGATTGAACATGTACTGTTGTTACGACCAGACCACCTGACGGCAACTCGGGAAGGGTCTAACAAGTGTGGGAGTTGGGGAGGAGCCAAAAGCTACCGCACACATGCAAAAATTAACCACAACACGAAAAAATTAAATAAACCCCCACAAAATGCCGTGGACAGTAACAATTGTGAACTCACAGGGGTGGGAACGTGCTCTGTAACTTCTTCGCTTTCCTCATTCTCATTTATGTCATTCTCGTCCTCCAGTTCGGCATCCATCGATTCATCATCTTCACTTGGTAATTCATCCTCCTCCTCCTCCTCCACTACTTCACCCTCATCATCAGTTAAATCTTCGCCATCACTTGCGAGGTCCTTTTCGTCCTCCTCTAAGTCGTCCACCTCCAGCTGTTTAAAGTTGTCCTTGGCCAGGTCCATGTTGTCATCGCTGTCGTACATTCCCGTGGTCAAAGTGCCGGTGTCAAGAGCACCCAGGATATAGTCCAGTCCATCAGCCACAAATGACTGAGGTATGCTTTTCTTGTTTTTCCTCTTGTTTAATTTCAAGTAGCGCTCTAGTTTCTTTATTTCTCGGTCCTCTTGTTCATTGGCCTCTAAAAGCGCCTTTTTCCTCGACTCTTGGTACCTGTTGGTTTTCGTCGGTGCCACTTTGGGCTTTTCTTGTTTCTTTGTATTAGTTTTTGGCACTTTTTTTACCTCGTCCTTCTTGTTGCCACCTGTTGCCTTCTGTTTTTTAGGTATTACAGCCTGTTCACCATCGCCGCTGGGCAGATTTTTCTTTTTACCTTCGTAGTGACTTTTCATTCGGATTTTCTTCAATTTTCGCTTCTCCTTGCGGAGTTCCTTTCTGCTTTTCCGTTTGACCGACCTCAAACCGGCGTCATCCTCTGCTCCCTCGGCGCCCCTTTTGTTCTTGACGAACTCGCCCACCGCCACCATGTACTTCTGCAACACGGCGTTGCCCTTCTGCTTTCCCTTCCGTTTGCCTTTCATAGCAGCAGCGCACTGTTTACATTCGACTCACTAAACTTGTTCAAAATACCACGTTAAAAAACGGAGCAGATGCTAATATGCTAGCAGCTTTTTGTCAAATATTAGGAAGACAAAAATAAAAAGAATAACAAAAATATACCGATTAAGAAAAAGAGAATCCGTACACATGTGGCTCCATGGATGTATACGGATATGACCCGGATGACGTGTCATTGTGCTTCCGGTGTAACCAGCGCGATGGGCGCCTAATGATGACGTCAAATATTTTGGAATCGTTTTTTTTTCTTCTCTCACCTCGAAGCGGGCTTTCTACTCCTCCGACGTAAAGCGTTTTTTTAACCAGTCACGATCCGGCTCGGAGGAAGGAAGAGGGCGCACCTTGAGCGACTATGTAGCGGAGTCTGGATTTGCAATATGAAGAATGGAAGCAGACGATGTTACTATCAGGGAGCAGAATTTCCACAGCCAAGTTCGGGAGTACATTGTGAGTACGGAAGCGGCTCAGCGGGTTCGAGGCGGTGAACGACGTCCTCGAAAATAAAAAATAACAAACACTTGGCTGATGCTAAATAGCTGTCAAATAGACCGGCGTTCATTTCACAACAACTTATTCAACGCGATCACACAAATAGGGGAT